GTCACACAATCCCTGCGTTTATTCCTATCGAGAAGCTGGAGCGCGTCTATCTGCCTGTACCCCCATCGCAGGAGTCCGCGGAAGAGGATGCACCCCTCAAGCCGTGGAAGGGTCGGGTGCGGAAGCAGGATCTGCGGGGTCTAGTTCGCGAATTGAGGCGGCAGCTGGTTGCGTGGCATCTCAGAGTCGATGCGGTTAGCATGCTGAGAGAAGACCTTGGCGGTGTTCGAGATGGGAGTGTGGGTGGCGGTGTAGACGAGAGTCGGCTGGAGCCGAATGACTTGGGGATTGTGTCTGTTTCTCCGACGGCTCTCGAAGCGACGTATGTTCGTCTGGAATGGGAGGATGGACGTGTTGGGCGCTTCAAGCTTTCCGACACTGGAATTATTGAGCGTGCAGTCATCATCGGCGACCGCGGGAGAGACAAGAGGCTGGAAGCTGTGTTTACCGGGGGTGATGGGCGAGTGGAAACGCTCCTGGACCGGTTACGGCAGCAAGCTATATCCTAGATCAGACGAATGGATTGCAATGCTCATGTAAGGGCTGACGGGATTCTCTCTATGAGTGACACTGACTCGGGTGCAAAAGACCGATATTATGCATTGAGTTCTATAAGCGGCACATAAAGCTGATATCTATCGAATATACAGGAAAGCCGATTGCCAATCAATGCTATGCACAAGTAACAATGCCGCCAGGTGTATATATAATGCTCGCCTGTCCAAGACTGAAAAGTGAAATGAAGAAGCTCTAGGAGCACGTCAACAAAATAATTACAAGAATATAAGTATCGACCATAACTGGAGGAGGGGAAGTAAACACATTATCTCCACAATGGCAATAGAAAAGGGGCAGCTTCAACGTATATGCAAATGAGATGATTCGATAAGAAGAAAGGGTATCACTTTGAAACATCACGTCATAAATTAATGCACTGGTTCACCTTCCTTCGGGTGTGTCTGTTCGTCACCGCTCATGTTCGTAGTGTTTTCCGAGACGCAAATGGCTGAGTCCCGCGTCTCGTAATGCGTGTCAGAGAATGACAGTGGAGGTAGAGGGCCGTACGGGTGTCCGTGTTGTAGTTCCAGTTTCTTGCGCAGAATGGCTTCTTCCAGGTTCCAGCGATGGCGCAGCTTCGTCTTCTTCGCGTCGAACGCGTGCATCGCCAGCGCCTCTTCCTGCTGGTGCTGTCGTTGCAGCTCAGCGAATTCCAATGCATGCTTGTCGATGAGCGCGTCCAGCTCCCTCTCCATTCGCGCGATGGCCTCCTGTAGTCTGATTTCTTGTCGGTCTCGTAGGACCTTGATCTTGGCCGTGTGTAACCGGTCCATGCATTCGTGGTCGTGGTACTCCTGCGCCAGCAGGGACTTTTGCTGGTTTGTGTATTGCCGGACCGGGGATGTCCCGTCGGATCCAGATATTGATTCGGAATCCGACGTTGGTGGGGGATGGGCGTTGTTGAAGTATCCTTCCATATACTTGATGCGCGTGCGGGAGTTCCGCTTCTCCCTCTCAAATTCGCGAAGCTGGTCCATCTCGACTGCAAGCTGCCTTTCCTCCATACGAGCGGCATCGGCCTCATTCTGCAAAAGTCGTTAGCTTGTCTGCAACACCGGCCTTGAATTGCGGGAAATGACCTTCACTCGCTTCTGCTCCTCCAAGGCTTTATTTTCCGAAAGCCTGTCGGCCACGACAACTTGCTGGTTGCGTCTGAGCTGAATCAGGAAAGCATCTTGGAAGGCGATATGGCGATCTCTTTCCGACTTGTGCGATTCACGCAGCTGGACTAACTCCTCATTCTCAAGACTTCTGTGCAGTGTTTCCTTATCGTAAATGGGTATTTCAAGTCTCAAGACCTGGCTCGCTTCGTCTGAACTTGGGTTCTGCGACTCGCTCCGCCTCGACTCCACGTAGACCTTATCCACGCCCCCTTGTCCTCTAGCGACGGTAATCTGAGCTGCGGGTGGAAGAAGGACCGTAGAGGGCGTTCTCTTCTTCCTGAAATGAATTCTGCCAATAGCAGATTTTAAGCTCGATTTTCGCTTCTCTTTCTTGTCGGTCGAAGATATGCTCAACAGCGAGTTTCTGTGACCGGGCTGCCCCGCGAAGATCCCATCTAGACCACTAACCAGTCTTCCTTCACTCGAGCTAAATGACGTGGGGCGCGTGGAGAGCGAGGCAATCGATCGGGTGCTGCCGCATTTCACGGGATCGGAGGAGACGGTGAGTTCCGAGAGAGACGAAGCAACCTGGTCCAGCCGGGAGGTTTCATGAGATTGTGTTACCTCACATATCGAGTTGCGGTCTGTCGAGGAACCGGAAGACAGGACAGGGGAGGATACATCGATGATTCCCGAGGCGATCGAGGCGGCCAGTGATGCGGTTACCTCGACTTCCGGAACTTTTAATCCCAGCTCATGCGCTTCTTCGACTAGTCGGTGATCCCGAGCGATCTCTAAATCTTCGGATGGAAGCAAAAGAACCTCATTGCGGTATTGAGCTTCATCGATGCCGACCGAATTTGACGGCTCCATGATGCGATCACTGTTGGTGTTTTCGAGTACATAGAACTCCAGAACAAAACCCCGTAAACTTTTTCTTCTTACCGATCAGATTTCAAGGGCGCGCAGCGGAAGATACTAGGACACTCGTCCACAGTACCAGAAGCACAGTGGACGAGATGGAAGCGCTCACGAGCAGCATCCGACTTGCGGGGTGGGTTTCATATGGAGCAAGTAAGAACGGTCGGGAGAAAAGGAAGGATAAAAGACACTAAAATTGCGAGACTGGCAGCGATGGAGACACCGAGAAAGACAGAAAGAAATGAACGAGTCAAGCTGGTTCGGGCCTCAGGCTTTGCACCTTGGGACCCACGAGGACCGTCTGACCGAATCATGAACTATGGTTACGCCACGATACGCAAGGTCAGAGGAACATCAGCTGTTCTTCTACCAGGGCCAACCGATACATTGGTAACCTTAATACGCCTGTTAATGCTCAAGCCCTTGCTGCCTGACTTTGGAGGCAACAAGCGTGCCAAAACAGGCATCTAGGGCTTAGGGCCAGGGTGTCCGGTACGGTCCGCGCTAAGGCGCCCCTAGTTTCAGCCACGCTGCATCACCATCGCTTTGAGTCAGGAACCGCGGCTTCAGAATTATGGTCCACTTCCAAGGGTGGGTGGTCTCTGTCCTCGTGAGACCGTTGGCCCTTCTTACCATGATCTATCTACTGTTGTAAATTGACTGGAATGGAGTTGCTCGGTCTCATCATATGGATACAGCAGGGTGAAATAAGTTAATAACCGATACTTAGCAAGGACGGAGGCCACTCCGCTACTCATCTACAACCGTGGTCTTGAGGCATCAGCTAACCAATGTTCTTGACCGCTTCCAAGTTCCAATTCTTGCAAGTCCACAACAAGTGGCGAAGAGCATCACTACTACTACCTAGTACTAACTGAAAGGGAGGCAAATGAGGTTGTGGATCCCACCACGTGGAAGACCATTGACCGGGCCACTTAGCGCATCAGCATTGCAACGGCCATGGCGTAGGCTTTTTCTTTGGCATTGCCTTGGATGGTTCCTGGTGGAGCTCTTTTGTCCCAGGCATGATTGCAACCTTGCATTCTCTGGCACACAACCTGGCGACCAGGCAGTTTCTCTATCTTCGCAGCGAGGGCTTCAGCTTCACGAGCCAGGCTGTCACCAGCCGCTGTCACAACAAGAACACGATCGGGAAAACTTTCGGGCTGCGCATAGCATGGTGAAATGCGCGGGTCTCTGGCATCATATGAGGAAGGAACGTAGCACTTATTGAAAAGCCGACTCAAAGGTGCAGGAAGAGGCTTCCCTGCCGGATCCGGCGGGATTTTGGCTCCCGGGTCTGTATACAAATCGAGCGGTGGGTAGAATGCGAGAATAGATCGAAATGTCCCTCGTGGGAAGAGCACGGAAGACGCCACGATCGCAAGATTCCCTCCAGCGCTGAACCCGGAGATAGCCACTCGAGTCAAATCGAACTTGTCTGGCTGTTGGAGGACCCAGTTGACCACATCCTCCACGTCGTTAAGCGCCGCAGGAAATGGATGTTCCGGTGCCAGACGATATTGGACGTCCAACACTGTGTATTCTGTCTCTCGACTGACTTGCCGACAGAATTCGTCGTCGCTTCCGTGAAGCGGTATCAAGAACCCGCTGCCGTGGAAATTAATGAGGACAGGCGATGGCGACAATGCAGTTGCTGGCCGATAGACATGAGCTCTCAAATGTCTGCCCGCGTCTCGCGACTTTATCTGAAGGACATCATCTGGATTTGCAGAGATGCGCTTGCCACGTGTGGCAACAGCTCTGATGAGCACCGCCAATATTTTGCGGTAGATGTATGTTAGGAAAGACATCAACGGCGTGGCAAAGTAGACGACGGGAAGGCCAGTTACATTCTTGATAGGGACATCGATGAAAGTTCCGGTCTTTAACACTTCACGTAGGCTGATTGCCGACGACAGAGGGGGGAGAATGTAGGATTGGAAAGAGTGCGCCTCGTTGCCTCTGCTATAACGCTTAAATGCGGTGCTGCTGAGAATATCGGGCTAAAATCCACTAGTTCACGAGAGTATTATTGCCTGCCCGAAACTAAGGAACTTTACCTAGGCATCCCTTAAGCTCTGACTTGACCTTAAGCCTGTACGATGTCAGGTGCGGGACTAGATCATTATTGGGATATATTGCACGGCATTTCATAGGTAAGGTACAATTGAGATTCTACGGAAATTAATCTTCCTATGAGATAGCGCAAATCATATTACATACTTCTGGTAAATACAGCCTTCCAAGTTGAGGTCACAATATCAGGATGAATGTTGGCTCGTGTGTGCATGACACCAGATGCGGTGGAATTAGCATTACCCCGTAGATCTACGGCCAAGACCGACCTTCCCCCTCAACCAAAGGCTTCCAAGCACATCCCAAGCCTTCGATCGCAACGCACCTGATTGCACGAGAATGGCAACACTTCCGTCATCTCTTCTGTTCCATCACCATCTGTCTCAGGTATACTCAAAGTCATCCTAAATATCCCCCACAATCTTATTGCATTAAATTCTTATTTAAAATAAAGAGATAATCTGCTTATCTTTGTCAAGTACGGTGGATGCTCAATAGTACATGAACTAAAATCCAATCATTGGTCCTTCGTCATTTACTCCTTGTATTTATTGCATACGGATCAGACACGCAGAACAATGGCCTTTCATCATCAAGCTGGGGATACTAGATTCACAGTCTTCATCCGTCTTCCATTCCCCAGAGGCGATTTTGTGGACCCTCCTCCTGCAAGTGCCAACGCTGATCAAGCTCACTCTCTGACTATCTACTGACACTCACAGGTGGAATGGAACGCTGCCAAGGACCAGGCACTCTGGGATATTCTCTCACGACCAACCAAAGGGGATGACATAGACTGTGAGGCAATTCTATCAAAATCATCAAAATTATTCTAATACTAATTCTCTCATAGGGAAGGCACTGTACGTCCCCAGGAAATGTAAACATTCATAATCAACGCGTGCTAACAAACTGGCCGCTTCCAGAGCGGATAGCTTCGATGTCACACTTCAGTTTCTCCTCCAGCAGGCAGCATGGCTTTATGACCGGCAGCTATCGCAAGTCCGCGCCCAAATGCGCAAAGTGGGCACTACGCACTCTAACTCCCCATCTCCGGCTCCTAGTTCCATGACCGGGAGCACAGCTCTCGGAGGCCAACAGCCCAAAGGCATTTCCGGTGCAGGTATGTCTTCTTGGAACTCACTGCTAGAAGCAGTATAGTTAAGATCAGCTCAAGGTCCACGCGCCCCATCTCGTCTTGTTTCACAGCAAAAGGACACCTTGCCGCAACGAAGTAAGTTTTATCCTTACTGCATGTCGTCAGTCAAGGCCTGGCTATTGATGCCCATCTGACGAACGCAGCGCCAGGTCCACGCCGTACGAGCTCTACAACCACCATTAACCAACTAAAGAGTCAAAAAGAAACGTCTCGAAACGAAACGCCACCGGCTGACACAAAAGACACTAAATGGGAGGGCTATGGCCGACGCCCTTCGATCAATAAAAAGGAGCAGGCTGTGCAGGCCTTGCTACAAAGATCTCCTACACTTGAGGAAGAAGACCTCTCCTCAAGTTCGTCGTCGGAGTCTGATACTGATGGCGATGTTGTGCTCAGCAGAACAGGACCACGGTTTAAGCGCTTTGGCAAATTCTCGACTCATCGGCCTGGTCTGAGAGATGACGAAGAAGACGAAGACGAATCTCCCGCCTTTTTGCCCTTGGCTCGCGAGTCGGAAGAAGTTCCACGTGAGCCCTCCCGACAAGATCTGAACGCAACGCTTCGTTTGGAAGCAGAGCATGCCGCTGCGCAGCGGAGGCGCTTGTCAGAACAAGAAAGTGTCCCGAGGAAGTCAATCACAGCAGAATCGTCAACAAGCTCTGTCAGCTCCGGGGCCCCTGTTCCTTTACCGCAAGGAGACAGTCGTCGGATCTTTCATCAATCAGGTGGACCTTTCAGCCCCCAAAGGACGGCAGAACCAAACCGATCAAGTCCTCGGAGATCGATTGCTTCTGGCAAGGACACTAGCGATACACCTAGCATGGGAAGTAGCTTCAGTGATCTCGACGGTAAGCTCGATCGAATCCGGTTATAATTCTGAGTGTTCGTTACTAACTATTGTCTGAGCAGATGCCAGCGTCACACAATCGGCGCTTGAAGAGGCCCTACTGAGTAACATGCAACACGGAGGAATGGCAAGCCGCATGAGCACTATCAGTCAAGCGCTACGAAGCCGCTATCTGTAGGGCCGGAGTGCTCCTGATCGGACATTGTATGCTGTGCAAGGATGGAATCCAATAGTGAATGAGCTTGTATCCAGCTCTGCATGATGTGTCGCTAGACGCCGAATTGATATTATCATGGATTGAAACACTTCTACCCACTCTCCCTAATTGCTTGAGTGTACTGAGAGCTTATCACGTGAACGCTCAACTAGCTGACGTCAAAGGCGGAGGTGCTTCAAAGGCGGTGAGAAGAGAAGCACCGAAAGCCCCTCAATCAGCCTCGGTGCAAGTAGCAGAGAAGCCGACAACTTGTGTCCCTGTACTGCGTATCGGCAAATAACAGGTCATCTTTTTGACCTACAGTCCTCTGAAGCTCGGCTTGTCGGGCTTTCGAATTTGGACTTGGCACATAGCGAGTTTCGGCGACAGGAGTGGAAATCTACCAGGTACATTAGTGTTCGCTTGATGTCGGATTAATGGGGGGGCATCCTGTTGGGGGACCTGTCATCCGCTCGGGCTAACTGATTTCTCTGGTGGTTGAGGAACAGAGTCCCGTCCAGGCAGCGACAATACCAGGTACCCTTCGAGCACTCTCGGTTGATTCTGATTCCTTTTATCCATTCCATCCGATCGTATACGTTCCTCGCGAATTATCGTATTGAGTTGAGCGCCTTTGCATAGATCGTTCCTATCTCGGGTCAACGTCAGCCCGCAATCATACTCGAGGTCTAAAGAGCCTCAAGAGGACTCGAATTGATCTCTTTGGCACTGCTTAGAAGGATTGATTTCTTGGCTACGGAGTGCCGTGCGATCAATAGCCATTGGAAGAATTGGAGCAGCTTCCCAGAGAAGCCGATTGACAATGGCGGCAGCAACAACAGAGGAAATGACGCCTGCGGAGCAAGAGTCCGTCTATTTCAACAACTATCCACCTCCTAAGAACCTCCCAAAACATGAAGCCCTTGCCAGAGCTTTCATCGAGTATCACGCCGAAGCGAACAGGCGGCTGGTCCTAGTTACGTCCGGAGGCACAACTGTGCCCCTCGAAAACCAGACGGTGCGATTTATAGACAACTTCTCGGCTGGAACCAGAGGTGCAACTTCCGCCGAATATTTCCTCCAAGAAGGCTACGCGGTGATTTTCCTTCACCGGCAATTCAGTCTGCTGCCGTATTCGCGGCACTATAGCCACTCGACGAACTGCTTCTTGGACTTTATGGATGAGGCGCCCCCATCCACGTCGTCAGAATCTGCCAATCCAGATCATGGTCCTATAATGGTGCGCAGTGAATATCAGGACCAGATGCGGGACGTTCTGCGGAAATACCGCTATGCCAAACAAAACAACTTGTTGTTGCTTTTGCCATTTACCACGATTTCAGAGTACTTGTTCGAGTTGCGGATGCTGGCCAAATTGATGAGACCACTGGGGCCCAATGCATTATTCTACCTAGCTGCTGCCGTCAGTGACTTCTTCATTCCTCGAGATCGGATGGCAGAGCACAAGATCCAGTCCTCCGAGCTTCCCGCGCACCTGGACAATTCACATGCGGTCGCGGGAACGGAAATCTACACGGGTGGGCTGGAAACCCAGGCAGGAAACAGCAAGAAACTCGTGATCGGTCTGGACCCAGTGCCCAAGTTTCTGCATCGACTGGTGGACGGCTGGGCACCTGATGGAAGTATGGTCGTCTCCTTCAAGCTGGAAACGGATCCCAAGCTGCTTGTCTACAAGGCGCAGACGGCGCTGAAGCGGTACGCACACCATCTGGTTATTGGCAACCTTCTCTCCACACGTAAATGGGAGGTTGTCTTTGTGACGCCAGATCCCCCCTACGAGCGCTGGATTCGGGTTCCCAAGTCGAGACGTAGCAAGAGCATCTCTGGTGCGGAAGACCAGGTGGGCCTGGCAGAGGCAAAGAAAGCGGGCGAGCAGTCGGCGAACCGTCCCAGTGGGGAAGCCCGAGCGGACAATGAGCAGAAACCAGCAAGTGTTAGCACCGGGGATGGAGTGGAGATTGAGAGTCTGATCATTCCTGAGTTGGTGAAGCTGCACTCGAACATGATCGCCAAACAGCAGGCCAAGCAGCAGCCATAATACTACCTGAAGATGCCACCACAAGTCCCCAACAAAATCAATTTTATAGCCCATAGATAGATATCCTCCCGATCAAATATTAGTATCGACTTCATAATCTGGTACCATTGCTCCTTACTAAGTCTTAGTCGTACTTGTCAAGTGCTTGGCGTGGACGATCTGGCCCCATTGTCCCATACAATCGATAGATTGGCAGTTTGGCACTGTGTTTTGGCTTTCGAGTCAACATTCCACAGTCTGTCCGGGCAACGTCTCACGGTGCATTCATAGGGGAACACAACAGGGTGCGCGGAATATAATGAAGAAGAGAGATGACTGGTTGTTCCTAAATCAAGCCTTCTGACAGTTTCACGGCGTGGCAGATAACATCCTTAAAAAGCAACTAACGCTGACCCCACGATCTTCCCAGGGGTTTCAGCTTGCGGAAACGCAACACATACGCGTCATCGACGGTTGCTTAATGCTCTTACCGTCGGTGGGCCGATCGTCATCTGTTCACTACTTAGGTTGTTTTTCATCTTTTCAGCCTATCTACCGTCTGAAGCTGCTGCTTGAAAAAGTGCGAGTGCCGTCCCCAATTCCGCCTCGTCCCTTTCCGCCTTCCGCCTCCTACCTGATCCGACAATATTAATCACTCAGACTATGATCTGAAATTGAGGAGAAGACATGAAGAAAGACTAAAGGGAAGACCGATGATGATCAACAGTGTCTTTGTCAAGTTGAAGACTCGGTCTCAATAGCGCTGCTTCGCTTCGCCCTTCCTCCATCCTGAATCTCCGCCCGGCGTCTACAACTTATCCTCCTCCAAAACTTACAGCTTCGGCTGCACTCACGATAATGCTCATTCCCCTCCGTTACCGTCGACGCATCACCCTGATCTCAGCGGTGCTCGGGCTGTTCCTTCTATACCACCTCATTTCGATCCGACCGGACCTCCAGCGACCGTTCTCGAGCTTCCGCAACAACTTACAGCAGCAGTTGTCAACGCAGCAACAACAACCGAAACAGAAGCAGGACACTCATTCCGACTGCACCCTCCTTCCCGGCATCGAAGATGTACTGGTGGTGATGAAGACCGGCGTGACCGAAGCCCTAGACAAAGTCCCCGTGCACTTCGAGACTACCCTGCGCTGCATCCCCAACTACGTGATCTTCTCCGACTTCGAGGAAGAAATCGCCGGCGTGCGCATACACGATGCCTTGCGCAACATGGACAGTGAGGTAAAACGTACAGTTCCAGACTTCGACCTCTACAATCGGTTACAGAAGCTCGGCAGACACGGTCTGGAAACGCAGGATTTCGCCGACGAGGCCAACTCGGCCATTGGGAAACCCAACAACCCAGGCTGGAAACTGGACAAGTGGAAATTCCTCCCCATGATCCAGGAGACGCTGCGCTACAAGAGCGACGCAAAGTGGTACGTCTTCATGGAGGCGGACACCTACTTCGCCTGGCCCACGTTGCTGGAATGGCTGTCGAACTACGACCCCGAGAAGCCGCTCTACATCGGCACCGAGACCCAAATCGCGGACGTCATCTTCGCGCACGGTGGGTCTGGCTTCGTCATCTCCCGACCTGCCCTGCAGCTCGCGGCGGACGAGTACGCCGGCCGCAGCGTCGAGCTCGACATGTTCACCGACGAGCACTGGGCGGGCGACTGCGTCCTCGGCAAGGTCCTGCTGGACGCCGGCGTCCCGCTAACGTATTCATGGCCCATACTGCAAAACTCGAACGTCGGCGAGCTCGATCCCTTCACAACGGGCTTCTACCGCCATCCTTGGTGCTTCCCCGCCGTCGCGTTCCATCACCTCTCCCCGCAGGACATTCGAAACCTGTGGGAATTCGAGCAGCGACGATGGAAGGTAAGATCTCTTCTCACCCTGACAGTGCTCAAATACAGATGAACAAATGATTAATGACTTTCCTAGTCCCACAAACGCCTCCTCCTACACTCAGACGTCTTCAAAGAGCTCATTTACCCCGAACTCTCCAACGTCCGCGACGGTTGGGATAATCTCTCCGACGAGGAACACGCCTCCGTCGACACATTCCATGAGTGCCAGTCTATCTGTCTCAATGACTCCACCTGTGTCCAGTTTGCACTTCGTGCAGGCTCCTGTTTCACCGGCAAGACGCCTAGGCTCGGTGTGAAGAACACCGCCGTGCGATCGGGCTGGGTCATGAAGCGGATCGAGAGGATGGTGGAGTCGGCACCTTCATGTCCGAAGCCGGATTTCGGTCTATGACGCTGATGACATGGCGATGAGATGGTAAAGGCGGAGCCTATCATCTCGATATTCCTGTATCACTAGAGTCTGCATTTCTCTAGCTTCTCGTGCTTGCTCTTATCTTTGCTCTCTTGCACAGCATCGGGTTATACATTGGGCTGGCGTCTATGGTGGTAAAGCATTGGGTTCAAAAGGTTATACTATACTATTTCCATTTTAGGCATACTGTTTATCGAATCGACTTCTCGTTCCATTTCCTCATTTCCAACTGTGCACAACCTTTTTTCTTTTTTTTTTTTTTTTTCAAAATCGGTTTGTCCCCGAAAACATGATGTGTGCCCCCATGCCTCATCCAAATGATCAAGAGCAGCAGACCACTGAGGGCTAGATCCCGCGGTCAAACGACCATGAGTGGTGGACTGCTAGGGTCCTCAAGGCACTGGTCGATTCGCATTATGGTCAAGTTCATTGCCTTGACAAATCGAATAACCTGTGGGAAATACTCAACTGTGCTCGGACTCAGGTAATGCATCACAGCCAGGTTGCCCCCGCGTCTCACATCTCGATAGAAAGCCTCCAGCTGTCTCTCCGGAGTTTCAGTGTCAGCCCAGAGCCAGTCCTCGATGTCCACACTCCAGTTGATGATCTGAGGATCAGAGGTATGCACTGCGAGCCGTTGACGGGTTCTGGCGCC